AAGGATTTATGCAATGATGCCCAAGTTTCAATGGTCAGCGTCATTCTGCTGCTTGCATGTGCTCTTGTAGCCTGTTTTCCATTAGTTCAGTGATAAACACAGAAAGGATATAGCTTGGCGTCAACTTATATAGCTTGGCGTCAACTTATATAGCTTGGCGTCAACTTATATAGCTTGGCGACTAATTACATGAGACGAGTATTTTGATTTTTATTAGTTTTTAGTTTGCTCCGTTCAGTATTTGTAAGCTGATTTTGTATGTGATATTTGGAAAATAAATCAGTTTTAAAGAGTCACATTTCCGAGTTACTTTTGCAGGAGCCGACTACTTATACGTTGTAGGCTCCTTGCTTTTTGTCAGTTCTGGTAAAACTGATAATCGACCGAACATCATAAACATTACATGCTTAATTGCAAATTAAATACAACTTTGACGAGTGAATAACAAAGGAACTATTTAAAGGAATCTGTGAGGATGGTTAATTTTTTGTAATCTATCTTTCCCTGGTCGCACCGACCGTCAAAGTTTCTGAAGAAAAAGTACTTAAAGATGGAAAAATTATTTTAAAAAATCTAGCTTAATTAAACGAATTTTTTCGAGTGATTCTTTCCAGCAGTGGCAAAACTCCAAATTAACACTACAGAAAGCACAATGATATTGGCCAAATTCGTTACTTATTCCAGCGCGCCAATCTCATTGCAAACAAAACGGTTTGTTATAGACCGTGATTAAATTCAAGTTATATTAAGAACATAGGTGTTAAATTAAACTGGCAAATTATATAGTGACAGAGATAACAATAACAATTTGGCTTGATTTTTCGATCCCGCGAGAGCAAATATCATCGTAACATGGATTAGACCAATCCAGTCTCCCAAATAATCCGTGTAATTCTGAGCAGAACTTTTTAGTAATTAAGATGGCGGACCTTTAGAGAGATCTTATCCAGAGAAATCGTGGTAAAACTCCACAAAAAATAGATGAAAGCCTTGTTTCGTCTGCGTATTTCAAAATCTTAAGAGGTTTGAAACAGTATTTTCACATCAGCTCTCAATGAAATATAATTTTCAGAACAAAACCCCCGTTGTTCATCTTTCTAATCCCAATTACAGAGCAGGATCAACACTTGCATTTTAATGAGATGTTTTATTGACAAAGCAAATCATGGAAAAAATGCAATACCTCTCCAGTTATAACATCTTGAGCGTCTGCCTCATTCTTCAAAGCCTCCCGACACATGTAAATGAGGTATTCTGAAGTTGCTCCCACGTTTTAATTTCTCCTCTACACCGTCACAGTCCTTAACAAGGCCTCTTGGAACTCGCACTAAAATCGTCCGAACAAATTGCCATTCACAAAAAAAAAACGGATAGGGCCCATTTCTTCTTATAATTCGTTGACAAGCGGATAGCTTTCTCACCGAACTCACCATCATTGTCCTTGAAAAGGCCTCTTGAATCTCGCACTTAAATCGTCCGAGAAAATTGCCGTTCGCAAAAAACCGGATAGGGCCCATTTGTTCTTATAGTTCGTTGACGAGGGGATAGCTTTCTCACCTAACTCACCGTCCTAGTCCTTGAAAAGGCCTCTTGGATCTCGCACTTAAATCGTCCGAACAAATTGCCATTCACTAAAAAGCGGACAGGGGCCATTTGTTTTTATAATTCGTTGACGGGGGGGATAGCTTTCTTCACTACCTTTTCTCCTTCGCATGAGGTTTTCGGCTCTCTGAACCCGCCTTACAGACGACGCCTCTTAATTTTTCCCTCATGGTTGGACGCTAAATGCTCAACAGCTTGAATCATGCATGTAAACGTGTTCTCTCGATGATGGGAAAAAATGTAACACGATGCATAGTTTATGATTGTTTGAACAAGGAAAACATGTCACTGCATAATTTCTTTTTGTTTTTCTTGAGAAGACACATCAAAACTCGATCGGGCCTCGTGCTTCAATGCGAGTTCCAAACACCTCGATATGAGCTATCATGACAACAACTGAATTCAAAGCGATCCGTAAACTACATGCATAAAACTTAAAGATGACGTACATTTTGAATTGTAAATATGCAAACCAGGGCCCAGTTGTATAAAGGTCGAGAGAATGAAAGAATGCAGTGAATTTAAATTCAGTATGAATTTATCTTATTCCTTTAAAGTTTTTTTTTTAATTACATCCTGTTTCACATAATTCAATAACTTACTACTTCCATCCCATCCCATTCCCCAGAGCACCTCCAATAAACCCCAAATTCACAATTATCTCACGTTTGTTCACAAGCCTTTCTCATTAGCATTGTTCCGGCCCCCTTCTAGCACCATTCGCTGTATAAAACCGGCGAAACTTTAAATGACGTCTGATTTAAAACTTGCTTGACTGAACAGTATACGCAAGAGGCTTTACCGTCTAGAAGTACCTGATTGGTAAGAAATGAAAAATGGTGATATAGAAATCATTGTTGGTTAGGACAGCTTCACGTGATCAGACAGCAGCAGAAGTTATCAGTATTACTCTCAACCACATCGCACTTTAGCGTTTAGCCAACCAAATAAGTTATTGGAAAGAGACAACGCCTTGGAAATGAAAGTAGACCTGATTTTTTTCACTCTTTTACTCTACGTCTCTGTCGGTAAGTTTATGATTCTGCAATTGCCTGAACTTAGTAAATACCTCATTCTCAAATCTGTTCACGTACTAGTCGATCGCGGCAGTTTAAAGCTGAGGTATTCCAATTAAAGCAAGAGTTTTAGTGGTTGAAGATACGACATCGATATCCTTGAGTCCACTATTCCATTCACCGACCTCGGTTTGCCTAGAGAAAAACCGAATGTCACAAGCTTTTAACATCTTAAAGACCCTTTGCTCTGAAGTTGTTGGCCGAATTTTCGTTCAGCACCGTTCGAAATGGGCCATACTGTTGCTGCCCAACAATTTCAACCATTTCAGATAGGATCACGGTGCATGCCATTGTCTTTTGAGTAATGTTAATTGTAGCTGATGATTGTTTTCTACCATGAGCTCCGCGCACAGTTGAAGGCCGTTGTCTACCTATACCAACAGGTGCTCCAAACTGGAGTATTTTTCCTTGAATTTTTTTTCAATTGTTTTGAAGTCCGGTCGTCTTGGATCTAACTCGTCGTTAAATATGGAACTGGGCCGAGTCTCATGCTTTTATATTTAACATTGAACATTTAAGGTCATTTGGAAAATTGAAGTGGATTTGTCAAGTAGCTCATTACACAATCAAAGAGTTGCTTTTATTCAGTGGTTAACTGAAGAGTCATGGCATCAATGATCGTAAAAACGGTCCTACTCCACAGGGACTGCTCCACGGCATCATCAGGGACAAGAAAAACACTAGTTTTTATTTTGTCATCCTCGATGATGCCGTGAATCGGCGAAAGCTTGAATTTTAAATATTTGAACATCAACTTTACAGAAGTTTAAGGCTTCCTTTGATTTTTGGCTAGTTTTAATATCAATTTCAAGTCCTGACTTCTCTTTTGAAAATACCTGACCACGATTTACGTCACTGCTTTATACATAGTTTGTTTTGTCTTGTTTTGACAGCTGATGGCTTAAATTGCTACCAGTGCCTAACCACCAAAGGATGGGATAAATGTGAGAAAATACAGACAGAGGTGACGTGTGAACGTGGCACCAACGCATGTAGTAAAGGCTCTGCAGAGGGGAAGAGTTATCAGGTGTCAACGGCAGTTTACGCTAAAGGTTGCGCTTACAGCTTTTCTCAGTGCAGAGCCAAATCATCCGCCTTCTGCAACAGTAAAGACCCTTCTTTGATAATCACCGATTGCCAAGTCAGCTGTTGTAGCGACGATTTGTGCAATGGAGCCCAAGTACGAGTTATCAGCGTCATCTTCCTGTCGGTATGCGCTGCTGTGGCTATATTTTGAGAGTGTCCCAGTTGTGGACATTACGTAGTTAGGAATTACAAATATTACCAGTATACCAATTTCACCGCATATTAAGAGCCAATGTTGTAGCCAAATCTTTCTCATTAATCCATTATAGACAAGCAGCTATTGAAGCTGACCTTAATTGTGTCAAGTTTAATTAGTAATAAAACAGTTTGAGGTAACCCTGTTGTTAAATCATTTGCAACCCAGTCAAAGTTACAATTTTCATTTTGAAATAATTGCACCGCGGGAATAACATTAACAATTTGTGGTTTTTAAAATTCGGGCTTCATGTTAAAGATGGTGTGGAGCGAGGAAACATAGCATTTTGAATCTTTGAAATGAATAATCCGGGCGATATTCTTCGTTACTGTTTTTGCAAAATTCTCCTGAACGACAAAATTCAAACATTATAAAACTCAATTTGGTTTTCTCTTATTTATCGAACACCAGCTGTTTCTTTCAATAGTCCTCATATGATAATAGCGGCTGATACAGTGCTCTATAGCAATCGATAAAGAAACAAGTCTGGTCGGGTCTGGTCCTGGAAGATCTGGAACGACCCTGAAAGAACATCGCAATAGAGTACGAAATTATCAGTAAGTTCTGTTTTCAAATTCCGATCGATGTCTGATGTTAGTCCAAGGAAGCAATATCGGTCACAAAACATTTATCGAGTTGAACCTCACATTAACTTCAGTTGCGCTTAAAAAAATTGGATGTTTAGATCCTTGTAGGTTCGATCCGAACAAACGTTTACCAAATACCAATACGGCATTTCCGTTTAACTGAGACCCACCATATTCTTTGGATTCTTAGGGGTGTAATTTAGTCAGAATTTAACATATTACTCATATAGCCGGTTCTTAATTAGAGCACACTCCGCAACACCTCTTGCAAGCATGCTAATATGCCTAATTTGGATCTGACGTTTTAGAAACACTTTTCTGATTGGATAGTAGTTGGGTCCTTGAAGTCGATCGCTCAATATCGACTCGTTAGGAATTTCAACCCCCCTAGGGAGACTGTGAATTTACTTAGGAGTTCAACTACCTGATCACATATCAGTAGAGTAATCATCACACAACAGAAAGATATCAACAAGGAAGAAACTCGCTTGGAGTCTATCAAAATGAAAACCCCATTTCTCATCATTCTGACCATCCTCATTTCCACTGGTAAGTATTCTAACATACATCACTGTTAAGGAGATTTTTCTGTTCAAAGACGAATTTGGTTCTTGTTTTATAATTAGTTTTACATCGGTCAGTGATAAAAGGCGAGTGTTGTTCCGTAAGTGTATCAAAACACAGATGAGTGAGAATCTTGGCGTTGCTATCTTTGCTTTGATCAACTCCGATTGTTCAAAGTCGAGACAAACTAAATGTTTTCTAACAGGACATTCTAACTGTGATCCTTAAATGGAAGACGACGTAAAATTTTAAAACTGCATCAACGACTACGAGCAATTATGTTAATTACGATGAATATATGAAGTTCATATATTTTGAACCGCGGTTATAGATACGTATGATACACGATCCTCGCAATAGATAGCGCTATTTATGTAATAGCGAAAATCAGACCTGAAAAAAATCAGGCCTGTACGGGATTCGAACCACTGACCTCTGCGATACTAGTGCAGCGCTCTACCAATAGAGCTAACAAGCCAACTGGGAGCAGGCCGTTAATTTGATTCGTAATAAACCCGTGATGATTTTCGCTATTGCATAAATAGCGCTCTCTACTGCGAGGATCGTGCATCATACGCATCTATAACCGCAGTTCAAAATATATGAACTTCATATATTCATCGTATCTGATCTATCATCACGGGTTTATTACGAATCAACTTAACGGCCTGCTCCCAGTTGGCTTGTTAGCTCAACTGATAGAGCGCTGCACTAGTATCGCAGAGGTCAGTGGTTCGAATCCCGTACAGGCCTGATTTTTTTTCAGGTCTGATTTTCGCTATTGCATAAATAGCGCTCTCTACTGCGAAGATCGTGCATCATACGTAATTATGTTAATATTAGCAGGAACAAATGCATACTGATAAATACCACAAATCACGAGCAGCGGTGCATGCTATTACTAACATACCTAAATATACAAGGAAGTCTATAAAACAATGGCTATGCTCGTAATTTCAGCGAGTTTCTGGAAAACCAAGGACAACCAGAAAATTAAGTAAAAAATAAGTGCGTATTCTCTCACAATTTGCGTCCAAAGAAAACAGGAAAACGTGTGCCTCGGTGACTTGACCTTTCACCAAAACATTTTACATAGCTAGTAGGGCCGCGCAGTCAAATTCAGTATACGTAAGCGTGCTCAAAATCCCGATAGTGCACGCTGATAGCGTGAGCAAATCGCTTCGTGAGAATTTTTTTTTTTCGCGCGAGCGGCCATTGTTAGCGCGGAGAAAAATAATATATTTCGCGACAATAATGGATACAAACAGAGACTCGGCCTACTAGTCCCAAAACGAAGACAGTTTTTCGACCTTTTCCCTTGGGCTAGAGTTCTTAAATGAGGCAGGAGGCAGGAAAAGAGAAAAACAACGGAATAGGAGACTCTGCATCAGCGCCGTCACGATTCGCTTCAATAGTCCATTTTACAGTTGTGTGCTTGGTTGCCAAGCCCTTGAATGGGAGTGAGGCTGAGGGTGACCTTGTTATGATACAAACCTTGCTGCCTTTCAAGTGTAAATCACTTTGTTATCATGCTAACTAGATACAGGTCTCTATCATGACAAGGTCACCTTCAGCCTCACTCCAAATCAAAGGCTTGGTAACTAAGTACACAACTGTAAAATGGCCTATTGATGATCCATCAAAACCGACATCAGCTGTCAAACAAATAAAAAGAAGATAACTCTGAGCGGCTGCCGTCCTATCCATATAAATAACGCATTTAACGTAATTAATAAACCATCATATTATCATCCAAAACTTAAGAAATTTTCATAACACCAATATTTTCCACTTTCATCGAAAATTATGCATTGGTCGCGAACGTGGGTAATTGAGTGATCTAAACTCTTTGCTGATGAACTGGTTCAGATCGCTTTATTTGAAGTCTTTGTCCTGTTAATTAATTTGTCCCAGACATGATACAGCTCAGACTGATAATTTTCTTCAATCCTTTCTAACAGGGTATGCCCTCCAATGCCAGTCGTGCTTTTCTTTTAGTAGTTGGCAAGGCTGTGACAAGGTTCAGAAAGCGGTGAGCTGTCCGTCCGGCTACGACCGCTGTGGAAAAGGGATTGTAGAGAGGAAAGGTACTGGAATTCATATCACAGGCTACAGTAGAGGCTGTATGAACGCAAACGAGTGCAATTCTGCCACAAATAGCGCGTGCAATCTGGATGATGGGTCAACAAAAGTTACCAAATGTGATATCCACTGCTGCCACGGTTCCTTATGCAATGGAACCAAGTTACCAATGGCCAGCACCACACTGTTTTTGGCATGCGTTTTTGCTGCTTTTTTCTAGTTGAACTCAAGGCGTTGTAACCATCTGATGGTTTAAAGAAGAGATGCGTTCCATTTAAAAGTTATTCGTCATATTCTGTTTTTCAAGCCAGTTCATGTGAACTCTAGTAAACTTTTAGGCAATTTTTTACAAACAGTTTTCTTAACAAAACTGCTTTCATTGGCGAAAAGTGTCATTAACAACACTTGCTTTTCCGACTAAGCCTATTTAATCATTTCACTGCCATGATCTCATTAGTGATTCTCCTTTCTGTCTGCGATACAATTCTTATGTATTTGGCTTAAAGAATTTAGTATGGATTTACTAATACTTCCTTCGTTGATATTGTTCTTTATTCTCATCCCTTGTCTGCTTGATATCATGTTGATATTGTAAGGAGAAATTCTGTCTTCATCACTCATGGGAGTTAGTGAGTTGAGGAACTTTTTAATGGGTAGATATTTCATCCTGAAATATCTACCCATTAAAGTTTTTCAGGAAAATTTTCCTTTTGGGTCCTCCCTGCCCGAAAACGCAACAAGGTATTCTCTTCTACTTTTAGTATTAAATGATTGCTGTAATTTCAAGAAACAAATCTATATCGAGACACCCTTTGGTGAGAGCAACAAAGTGAGTTCATTATCTTGTTTCGCCCGTGGACTAACAATTCATGCGTTAGGGGTTTTGAAAGTCGTATCTGCCAAATAAAAAGACTAGATAATTTTTCGATTATCAACCCTTTTTCAGGTTTTTTTCGCAAACAGGTAATTTCAGTAAAGAGATGAGGCATCGTGAGGCTTTTATGGAAATAAAGATGCTTTTTAAGCGACTCGAACATGCAGTAATTTTACTTAGTTACGTATATCTTCGTCATATCTCAGTTCATGCAGAACATCATGCACGGTTCAGCAAGTTAAAGCAACAACTCTGTCGCCAGAAGGTCAAACGAGCGGCTGGGGTTGATATTACTCACAAATTTAAGAAATGAGTGTTGAGGAATTTCGAAATTTTCTGAACAAAACATAAAAAAGAAAATAATAAAAGAGATATTGGCCTCGTTGGTAAATAGACGGAATACAGCTTGAAGCAGTAAAATAAAGCGTGCGATTGGTTGGTTTGTTTCCGCTCCCATGACAACAAAAAATGATATAGGCATGATGATTAGACAAACGTATTTGCGGTCAAAATACGTTATTTGTGCTTCCTGGTGCGCTCTCTAATGATATGTTTGGCTGTTTGCACACAGTGAGTAGGAGGGATTTTTTTCTGTGGCCAGTAGATGTCCTAACAGTCGCAGAACTAAAATAACAGAATCCTCAAGTTCAGTTCCGAGGAAAGGCAAGATCCAAGAATGGTGGTCTCGACGAAGGTAAGTACAGTAACACTCGCGTACCTCCAAGTGTTTTAACACGAAAGCCCGAAAGTTTTTCCGACCTTGGTAAGTCAGTCAATTCTAAACAGTAATTTTCTTCCAACCGGGCCATCAGATCTTACATGTACTCAATCGCGTTATTTTCTTTTCGAAATAATTGTTAGCTTTAGTTATCAAAGTTGGGAAAATATTTAATTAAATTTCAAGCGTTCTCATAGGTTCGTGTTCATGGATCAGAGAAGAAAGAATTGCAAATTTGTGGACTTGATTTGGTGGAAAAACGCAGATGTTGGCATCTTACAAAGATATCGATTTCCAATGTAAGCATATTGCGGTTTGGATCGAAGACGACTTAAATTTAGCTCGGTGACATCACTTTAATGCTGAAAATGAAAAATCGATATTATTCCTGTTCCCAGCAATAATTTTGACACTTTGAGCGTGATACTTTGCATGTACCGTAAATTTTAACGGTTCAGTGAAGGCGTTCCGGTTTTTGTTTCGTGAATTGAATGGAAAGTAAAGAGCATAACCTGGGGTTAGCGCCTCCAAACGAGAGCCCCTTCAAATATGGAAGATGAAACATTTTCACTCACAGAAAGAATGATACTGTTATAAAATAATAAAACTAGATGTGTTTGGGAACTACTAAAATTAGAGTGTTCTGGCTAAGTGTTTGGGAATTGTTTAGGCCTGTTACATTATCTTGAAATGTGTGAGTCTTGCGAGCCTTGGTTTGTCTTGTGCTGCATGTAAGACCACACATTTATTTTTACCTTTGGAGTGATATGTCCCTGACGGTTGTATAGGGCTTAATTCTCGTAAGATAATCGTCATCTCTATTCGTGTTTGGGTTGTTTAGGTTCTAGTTCTCGAAGATTGGTTTTCTTTCAAGTACTTTGTTTTTCATTTGGAATGTCTCGTGAAATTTTTTGAGTTAACGTTCGAAAATGATGTTTACTCTGCTAACGTCAGTTTCCCCGTAAGCCCAAACATGCCTATTGGTAGGATATTTAACTCAGCCATGTACTTAGGGCTGAATTAGAAAGTGGGAGAGACAGAGACTTAGAGAGTGAACTAAAAATTTCCTGATCAGACTCCTGGTGCCTCCCGTTTGCGCGTGGTGCTCGAGCTTGTTTACCCCAATAGTTCAACTGTAGACCACCCTCTCCCCATTGCCTAAAAATAGTTAGACACTGCTTGCCTCATTCTTCAGTTTTCAAACGCGATCGAGTAATGCCATGAAGAACTATCAAAGTTAATTAATTCGATCTCTTTAACCGCCAGCACCTGCTACTGATTTCGTCCCTTCTTATTCAGCTGTCAACCAACCTACATGCTCTGACGGTAAGTACATGTGCATGCGTATGTTCTGGTACCCTAGCTGAGTAATGTTGACTCAAAGTAGCGCTAGTTTGACCGATGTTGAAAATGTCAATTCAGTGGACCTAACTCAGGGGACAGCCCTAATATTCAGATAATATGTGTTCAGAATAGGGGCGTCTCCTCACTGACCCTAAAATATACCATAATAGTCATATTGTTTCCCACAATCAGAACCAAAGGGGATTTTACACTATTTTAAGGAAATACCTGGGCATGTGCTCCAGTACAAACGGTTAAACACCATTGGGACTGGGAAAAATATCCCCTGACTAACTGTACTGCTAGTCATAACAAATGCCAAGGTTCCAAATAGTTCACTGTTAATTCAGTCATCTTGTTTACGGACTCGTATTCGAAATCTATAAACACATTAGAATTATAGTTAATAAATGCTGGGATCAATATAAATTAACAGAGGACAATATTTACATGCCCGTTGGTGTCTCTCAAATCTGCGACTAGTAGTGATGGCTTCAACGATCATATCAATTAATTACGTTAGACATTGTTACGTCATGTCGCATAAAAAACGTCACCCATTAATTCTATGTTTGAACGAAACACCAACAAAGTCCTTGTAACTGAAGTAAAAGGTCATGCCGACTACATGAATCTGTGCCCTGTCTAAGAGGAGTCGCAATCTAAAGTTCCTGCTTCTAAAGATACATTTATGCTCTCTGATTAGATTACCACGGATGACTGTGGATCTGGAAAAGGATGCTTTAGGTTTCCAGAATCCTGCACTAACGACTGTAAGTTCCTTGTGACGTACAATGCAACCGGCAGGGATAAAGTGGAGTTCGAGCTGAGCGGCAGAGGGGACTGGGTAGCAGTTGGATTTAGTAATGACCGTGAAATGGTAATATCATCAGACAAGAGAGCATGGCTAGAATAAAAGCCTATCGATAAACTACAAACATAGGTTACCGGACATGAGCGCCATGCAAGCATGAGTGCTTTGCCTTTCTTAATAATTAAAAAAAAAAACATACTATAAGAAAGTGAGAAGATGAATTTGGCAAAACCCCATATGTATCTTACATTTGATTGCGATAAATACCCACTAACATGAACATACACTTAGCTTAGATGTTCCTGGAAGATAATCTAAAAGTAGAGAGTCATTGCTGTCTAAAACCAAATCTAAACAAATAGCTGGACCGAAAGTTGATTTAATGAGGAACTGATCAACCTCAAGAGCGGGAAAATGCGAGTCAGCAACTCAACATGTGACTGACTAGTCTTGCCCCTGATTGGGTAAGAGTATGGTGCAAGCTTTCTTATCTAATTTGAGTGGGTGCCGAAAAAGAAAACCCATGCATACTCGGAATACGTTCGACACTTTTGAAAATTTTGTCGAAACGATTTACAGAGTAACCGAGTAAACATCATTAAGGAAATCCTTGAAATTAGCAGATGGGCACTTTTAACGTGGGCATTCGCAATACTGTGATGCTTTGTAAATATTTTGATGCTTTATATCTCCTCCCATTTTTATATCATAGCCCGATACAGACATTCTTCTTTGCGCAAGTAACAGGGAGCTCAGCGGTCACTATTATACTTCAGCTAAGAGTACTCCTTCTATGACAACTCCTGTAAGTACCACCACGCACTTAATGCATCTATTGAATTACCAGATTAATTCAAAGACATAAAGATGGTTTTTTGTTTCTCTTGGTTGAATGAAGCTAATTTTATGCTGTTGATGTATCATTATTTTCTCGCACGACAAGTTACACTATAAGATTCGTTTCCAGACTATTTAGGGAAATTCTTGTTTCGTTCAGATTCCTGCAGCAGTGACGATAATTGATCATGCCAACGAAGGTGGAATGGTCAAGTGCAGGTAGCTCTTTCCTTTATTGATAATATAAAGCTCAGTTTTCTCGTCCATACATGATTACACTACGGTTCAATCTTGGTATCAAGGGGATGATATTTGAGATAAAGTAAGTACCTGAGTGTCTCAGTGTCTAAGCAAAAATCTAGACAGTTGTGGTAAAATGTCTGGTTGTAACAGTTTTTATCTCCTGTCACGCTAAGAAGAGAAAACGAAGGCTTCTGTCCATTTGCTTTTGAATAATCATGATCTCTCGAAATTCGAGGATCTTGCTCGGGACGCTTAGTAATGAGACGGGTCTGTAGTTGAACAATTTTAGGACCCTTTCTTTTCCTTGTGTTTATAAATGATATACCTTTGAGTATACGGGACACTACACTGGACATTTATGCTAACGATACGACCTTATCAAAAAGCGCTTGTTGGGAAAACATCTCAGCCATCAACCACGCCCTAAATCAGGATCTTAAACGCCTAGCTGAATGGTCGGCACAGAATAAGATGTTCATAAATAATCAAAAAACCAAGTCCATGCTAGTAACAGGGAGGCGCCTACGGAACAAAGTTGCCCCTCTTTCAATTGATGTTAATTTGAATGGAAATTCCATTGAGAATGTCACCGATTTCAAGCTTCTTGGCATAAKGCTAGCTAAATACGTTGCTTTTGATCGTCAGATAGAGGAGTTGAGCAAAAAACTTGTGAAACGGATAGGTCTCTTTCGTCATATAAGTCCTTATCTAAAACGGAATCAATGTGAAATTTATTACTCCACGATTATAAAACCTGTGTTCCTTTATAGCAGTTCGATATGGAACTCTTGTAATAAGGAAAATCTTCAGAAACTTTTTCGTCTTCAGAAAGGGCGGCTAGAATTATTTTAAATGCCGAAAAAACGGCCCCTTCTGTTCATTTATTCAATACTTAAACTTGATTCCTTTCTATGCCGAGTCATATGTAAATCGTTGTACCTTAACCTACAAAAGACTTAATGGTAATACTCCAGAATATATAAATGCCTTACTGATTAAAAACTCTGACATCCATAATAAAAAAAACAGATTCTGTAACCTAAATTTAAGTTGTCCTCGCTACAAGAGATGTACGGAAGGTGGCCGGAGGTTCACCGTAAGAGCAATCCAAGATTGGAACAAGCTAAATGTAGACCTTAAACGTAGTCCTAGCGCAAAACATTTTAAAGGATCACTCTATAAATCAATTTTTAAAAATCAATTTATTAGTCAGTCTTTTATTAATATCTAGTAGTTTTATATCCTTTTTATATAAATTATGTTTGCTAGATTGTAGGTCAGTTTTTGATTAATTTTCTCTTGTATTTACTTCGAAGGCCATTAGGTTATCAGTTTAGTTACTGTCAAATGTCACCCTCTCCAATAAAGTCTACTTACTTACTTACTTACTTCCTCTGTCCGTTTCGTCATCCTTTTTGAAAATTGGGGTAATTTTTGCCGTTTTCCAGCTTGTAAAGGCAGTTTTAGTTTCTATGCTATACCGGTATAAACTTCCCAAGGAGGGAATGATAGCGTTTCCTGCCAGTCTCAGTACCTTCGGTTGGATGTTATTGGGTCCCATCGATTTATTGGTATTCAGAGCTTCAATTTTGTTATCTATTGCGTGACTCGAAACGTCAACCTTAGTAAGCAAGGGTACAACCCTATCGTCTTTAGCGTCGCTGGTGGCACTTTGTCCGTTGTTTGTTGTGGGTGGAAAATTACTCGCAAGCTTCTGTCCTACCGTTGCGAAGTAAGAGTTCATAATATAAGCTTTTTCTTCGTCAACTAGGGCTAAAGTTCCATCGTCCCTTTTCACGGACCTGATAGTTTTCCGCGCTTTGGGATCGATGGCTTTCTTTGTAAGGTTCCAATTGGACTTCGCTAAACATCTTAGAGAAATGTGTGGTCTTGGCTTTTCGTAGCTCTGATGTAACGTTGTTCCTGGCCTTTTTATAAGCGGACCACTGCTTAGGGCATTTGGTAGATACTGCTGATTGAAATAGTTTGTACCTTCGATTCATTTTGAGTCGGATATCACTGGTTATCCAGGGGGCGGAGACACTTCTAATTTTCACCTTCTTCAATGGAACGTGTCCGTCACATATGTCATTAAAAAGGTATTGCCAGTCCCTCAGGTTATCGTCAGGATAGTCGAATATGGAATGGTTTACGATGTCTGCTTACAAAGGGGGGAGATCCTCCCCCTGGCATCTACAAATGTTGGACGAACAGATGTCAAATGAGTTTCTGCTTGCCGAGCGTTTCAATCAGTTCCTCGGCAACCTCACTCTGGACTTCTCTCCCTTGGACCCTCCTAGTCCTGGCATGGTTTATAATGTCCCTCCTGAGTTCTTAATTGATGAACGTACAGCACATCACG